GTAAACGGTTATACAATCAATAAACTGCCGAAGAAGGTTAGATCGAATGCCAGTCAATATCTAAAGAAGCCAGACAAAAGTCACGGCCCTTGAGTATTTATCTACAGGATGAAAAATTCCTTGACCTTCCTCTAAGATATTTAGAAATTACTGAAACAACAAACATGGCCTCGCGTTTACCAACAAAAAGCCCTGTTAGACGCTAAATACTCTCCGTCCATTGTGTGGAACAGAGGGCTATGTTTTCTCTCCACTGTTGACATAATATGTGTTCATTTGCTCGACTCGTTTCATCAAACTCTATGGCCCAGAAGTTACACAGCACTTAGCAGCGGTGTGTTGCGTCTTTCTCATGTTGCCATACACCTCCAACACTCGTCATGGAGAGGGGGGACCCGTAACCCGAGCCACCTTCACCTCCATATCTCCCCGTAGAGACGAGATCAGAAAGTTCTAAATGGCATGGAATGGACATCTTTGTAATTTCAACTTGGACTTTTAGACAGATAGATATTTTGATCGTTGGATGTTCGGTATTTAAGCGTGGTCATGGAGGAACCGCCATCAAATCAGAAAATATTTCAACTGACAAGATCAGAGACGACGTAAGTGTGTGATTTTTGAGTTCTTAGTCTATTTCAACGCCATAGATACAATAAATAAGCAACTTTTTGGCCGTGGGGACTATTGTGCAGGTTACTTGATTTAGTTATTTCAGTTCAATTGTAATATTAATTAAATTTAAGGATGGGGTGCAGGCAAGTGTTTTATTGGTCTTTGGATATCATATCAACTTTTAAAATTACGGTTAAAAAATAAAACCTATTATGAACTGAACGTTTATTTTTACAGAAAACGTTGCTTGCTCGTATCCTTCTCTGCGTGAGTGACTCTATCCTCTATAATTTCATCAAATGTGACACTAAAGTACAAATTCAGCCCAAAAACCATGCGACGTAGAACTAACAAAAGTCTCAGAAGAAAAAAAAATGATGAAGCTATCCCCCCTGTCTCCCTAAGGTGGGTGTAAGTGATGGTGTACCTCTATACAGGTGACATGAGAGAGAACTGACAGGGTTTTGTTATATTGAACAGCACTGTTATTCATAAGTGCAAAACGCTTACAAAAGCAATACTTGCAGATCACAGTATCGTAGCCATTATCCTCCCTTATGTATTATTTCTACCAGTGTGGCTTGATAAATCGTTTGACCACAAGTATATTATATGGTGATGATCACGACGGACAAACCACAAGGGATAAGAGTGTATATCCTTTTAACTTCTAGATAGAATCTTATCTGAAGGAAAAGGTTATCGTATCGGACATTGACTAGACGTCTGTGGGGGCCATTATCTCTCATGTATCACAACTCCTAAGGTTGGGCATTCGATCGCGTTCAAGACAGACGCAGCTTTCCAATGTTATCTGAGGGCAAACAACATAAAAAATGGTGGAATCATCTGATTTTCTTTTTTTACAGCATATGTCACCAAAAGTCTGCACAACTGTGTCTTCTAACACAGCCGTGAATTTTCCATATTAAAAAATCATAAAAATACTCGTAATCTTAAATCTCGCAGACCTTTATTGATTGAAGGCATCGAGTGTGATATTTGAAAGTACTTCAGTTTGGAGTGAAGCACTGAAATTTCATAACTGCTAGTGGAAAGGTAAATTGTGCGTTTCAATGTGAGAACAAATGGGCCTCTAGACAAACTATTGAGGGCTATTAACATAGCATCTCTGAGCTCTATTACTGACATTAAATGTGAAAGGTGACTTTTCTTCAGATGAACACGAAAGAGCGTTTAGTTGTGTAAATATTTTAACATTCTCTAATAGACACGTTCGATATTGCAGCAATGCGACACATTAAAGGTTATTTGTCCACTCAACGCACGATTAAAATGGTTGGCGGTGACACATAACAAAAACGAGTGTTCAAATATGAGGTGTTCAATGAGATAAATCCACATTATGCTGTCATCCAAAGGGATCAGTTGTCACAGTCACAGTCCGAGAAAGACAGGGAGAAAGTGGGTCTATCAGGACAGTGAAATCAGGCCCTGTGACACAGAACGATAAAAGTGTTTGGACTTAGCTTACTTTAAATTCGGATAGTCGACTACGTTCAATCTAAAATAGTTTTATATTCGTTATCATCACTAAAAGGGCTCTTGTCATAAGTGAGTGTAAAGACCAATGACAAGACTAGCAAAGACCAAAGCTAACATATTTTAGACTACTTCTTGGTAAAGTGCTATGTAGTCGGCTAAACAGCTTTTTAAGGCAAGTCGTTTTGTGAAGCAGACCCAGGGAAACAATGGACAGCCGCTGAGACGAAATCTCCATGTATGTATAACCACCAAGAATGTGTTACAATTCTTGAGGCTTTCTTGATACTTCCAATGCCACTCTTCTAGTGCCATTGATATACCTTCTACCATTGTGGCAGATATTACAGCCAATTTTCCAAAAGCCACAGAACCAAATGACCGTCTATTTATCTATAGACATATCTGTGGACATCTTGTGTAAAATCAACCTGTCGCCCTGGTAGAGGGTACAATTGGTACATGTTCCGCTATTGACAGGCATGAACGAAGAATGACTACTGTGCCGCGATAATCATGTCAAGGTCGCCGTAAGTTCTAAGTAACTCCCAAGTGCGGAAATGTCAATTTATCTTTGAAGGATAATCAACCGTCTTATCCATCAGCCAAATTGATGCCCAAGAAATTTCTCCTTATGCCGGAAGAGCATATCGTCCATTTTGATGTCCTGTCTTTATAAAATGACTCATATGAAGGACTGTCAATGTCCACGAGAGAGTTAGGAAGCTGTATCATTCTTTATTATGACGATTTTAAAGCTGAGATGAACTACATTGATGTAGTATCTTGTTTGCGCGTGCTAGTGGTTGTGCGCGCGCGAGTGTGTGTGTGTAAGAGAGGGATAGATAGATTTATTCAAATTTTACAGAAGGGTGAATGGTGCGAAAATGGACTAGTTTTGGTAGTTGTTGGAAGAGGGGTGTTGAAAAAGGGTGCAATTAGTAGAGAACACAAACAAAACTCGCACAGAGAACTTTGGCCCACTCTCACTGATAAAAGAAAAGGTTGCAATATTAAAGTTCATTAACACTGATTTACTAGTACGAATCTGATTTTAGTTATCAATTATTTTCAAAGCCCTAACATTGAATAAGATGACAGTGGGAGAAAATCGTAGAAACGGTAAAATGCTTGGTGTAAAAGAGGCTTGAACGTTTTATTTGTACAGAAAATGTTGCTCGCTAGCATCCTTCTCTGCGTGAGTGACTCTGTCATCTTAAATCTTGTCAAATTTTACACTCTAATGCATTTTCAGAAAAATAATATATGCTTATGTTTTCTATTGTCTTCCAGGGCCAGTGTTCCAGAGGACAAGAACAGATTGGTGCGTCTGGCCAAGGAGATGCGTGTAGAGAACAGGTCGGCAATGGACAAGGGGCACAGAGCCAGCGCCGAGTACAAGAAACGCCGGGCAAGGGTGGAGTCTGCGTCCCGGGGCTCTATCTGCAGCAGACACGGGTCCGCCGTCACGTGTCGTCACCGGCCGGACTCCGTGAAACAACCCCCGAAGTCGATTCTGAAATCTAAGACATCCACGGGGGGAACTGTGGTGACCCGGTCACAAAGCACATCTGCCGAGACGGGTAAAGAAAACAGTGCTGGGAAAGAGAAAAGTAACTGTATTCACGTGGAGGATATTGAGGACGAAGACGATGAGGGAGGCGAGGAGGATTGTGATACTGATTTGGAGAATGAAGGTATATGTCCATCTTAACATGATTATGTCACGTTTTGTCTTGGTTATACAGAGGAGCTGTCTTAGTTTAAACTTCAGTTCTTGACTGCACTTGTTTGGGTTCAGTCAAATTACTTTTTATCGATTTTACACAGTAATTACAACTGTCCTGTATTCTGTGTACTACGCTCATTAAATAATCACAGCATTTTCGTGTACAACCGTTATAGGAGTTTAAATTAATTCGAGTACAAATTGAGAGTTTCAGAATGTTATTTATTTATTTAGTATTGGTGTGTCGTAGACACCAAGTCTTCGTTGCTCTCTGTGCGTGTCCGCAAACTGAGGGTAAATCAATAAACGTCAGTGTGATTGTCTCGTTTAATGGCACTTACAGGGACGGGTAAACACCCCATGAAATAGTCATGCAAGCAATTGTATTGGTCGCGAATAATGTACACTACTTTTTGGATATGTTAAACATGATGGAACATTTATTTTTTTCTTGCTATTGAGTTTCAAGGACGCGTTGTGCGTGTTTTGTTGATTTAACGTCCAGTCCCGCTCGTAAAGATACAATTTCGACAACAGAAGAAAATCTTACTCATAAAAGGCTGTCTAGTAAATATTGATAGTGTGAAATTCAATTAAAATCAGTTTAGCGGTTTCGCCATTATATTTACAACTTTGATAAATGGTAAGTCCTTTATTAATATTTTGCAGTTGCCAAATCTCAAATTTCCAAAGCAGATAACAGCGTCGAGTATTTGTACGATGCTGCTTGCCAAAGGTTCGCCTTAATCCCCCTGTCGGCGTTCACACGGCAGCTAGAAGACGCCGATATTCAGCTTAATAACCAAGGGCTTAGTTCTAAAGACATGATGGCCATATCTATAGCTTTACTGGTGAGGGCCAATTTACCAAAGTAACCATCAGTGGTCATGTAAAGAAAAGTTCTCTCTCTCTCTGTCTCTCTCTCTCTCTATATATATATATATATATATCACACACACACACACACACACATTCTTCTCAACGGTTTAGGGATGATTTGATTTTTCAATATCTATTCCACCGTAACAAGACATAGCACATCTCACGAATATATGCCTTGACAATTCCTTTCCATTTTTGAGTATCATATAAACTAAAGGTATGATGAGGCACATATTGTTGATATAATTATAAAATGCTTTATATCAGCGGAATACCCTGTGTACGACGCTCTCCTTGGCTGGTAACGACATAGGGGAAGACGGGTGCCGCTATATATGTGAAATGCTGCAGGATAACGTCAGCATAGTCCGATTAGTAAGTTTTTTTTACTCAGTAAAATATTAGTAGTAGTAGTACATGTAGAAGTAGTAGTAGCACATGTAGTAGTAGCAGTAGTGGCAGTGGTAGTATTTGATTTGCATAATTATTGAATAAAAATAATAGGATAATGCTATTGTGAAAATTATCACAAAAATATATATACCTGTATGCATTTTGGTGGCTGAATAAATTAACACATTTAGACAACTTCTTTTTTTT